TTTCGCGCTGAATTCAAATATGTATAAATTGTAGGAAAAAATAACTTACGAATAGAGAAAAAGCGCTTTTACACGGAAAACCTATAACTCTGTATAAGAAAACTTTGGCATATTTTGACATGCACCATAGATGCAGGGCTGCAGGACGAACATTTCGACGTAAAGATGAGTAAGATTAAACCTCCGCTAAGTCGGGCGTTTCGATTATACTAATGTATCGTTTTTCCTAGCGTTTTCTTTGTATGACGTTTTTTTTTAACGAATATTTCGTAAGGAAAAGTCGTAGAGTAAAAATTTTTGCGCCATTCGATAGCGCATTTAGCGAAGTACGTTTAACGCTATTCAAATCACAAAACGGCTCACTTTCGATTTTTGGCCAAATGTCCGCCTATATGTCCACTGTATACTAGTAGTGTTTGCTGACCTCCATACAATTACCCTCACCCCTCACTCTCAAAGGAATCTCTCTTTTATGGAATAATTTAGTGCGCAATAGGCTTGCTTTTGACAGAAAATAAATGCTAGTTATTGTCCATCACTTTACATTTTGAAAGGGGCTAGGAATTTTTGTGTTGCCTTTTATTATAGAATTTATGGCATCGAGCAAGATTCTGCAGAAAATGGCATCAGTTTTCACAACTGCAAAACCTAGTGAAAAACAAGGTTAAATTAAGGAATTTAATGTCCATGAACGAAGAATCCATTTCTTTGTTTCAAACTTGTATTTATTTAATTTATTAGCCGTAATTAACTGCAAGAAAGAAAAATTCAACAACCAAAGAGACACAAGCCATTTTCGTGAAGGACCCCGACGGAGCTATGCAGAGTAGACAAAGTGTCGTAAATGGAGATACCAAAAAAAAGATTGTGTACGTAAACAGAAAAGGATGATGTGCTGCTGTCACTGCTTTATATTAAAAAAAATTAATATGCACAATTTGTTGTAACGCCCGCCGCCGCAAAATTCCATGTGTAACACACAACAATTCAATTGAAGTATATTTCATTTCATGAAGGTTTTGTCGCCTAAAACAAACACAGCAGATCGCATCAGATAATGCATGCATATCAACGTCGAAAAGCAAATCATGTGTTATTCGATAAGTTTTCAAAAACAACAGGCTTTATTGCCAGATTATATAAAACTGTTTCTTCTTTTAAAGCTGTGGAATAATAACAGAGCAGAACGGTTTTAGTAACTTGATTATCAATTTAAAACAGAGTAGATGTCGTAGTCTCATTGTACGTACTATTCTTCTCGTTATTGTCATTAACCATACTTGCCGGACAGCCAGCCCACTGTGTGCTTCTTATCAGATGGTCTTCTTTCATAACCATTGTACATGGATGTATTCGATTGTTCCCTTCCAAAACTGTGCCGGAGAAGATACCGGAGTAAGATTCTAAAACTGATTGTGCTCCTATTTTGACCGGTGCAAATTTATACAGACGCTGTTCAAATGTGTGACACTAAAATGTAGCAGTATGAACAGATGCACGCCCTCGATTTTATTCTGATCACTGTTAAATGATCAATAAACATCCATCTTTACCTGAATGCAAGCTCGATGTCTCATGCGACAGTGATCCTCAACTGTGGTCAAGTCATAGTCAACTAAATTTGTTATTTCAGACAGTATAACATCTTGGCCAATTTTTGCGCCTAGACAACGAAACAAAGTGCATAACCACTGTGTCGATCCAATAAAACCGTCGACGACAAGAAAATAATCCTGAAACATTGATACACTAAAATTCAATAGCTGATCAGCCGTCCGGATCGACTGTTTTCTCCGTTCCTTTTGCCGAAACCAATACAGACTGATTAAACAAATGAAATAAACAGCGATAAATGGTATGGATGACGCATAAATGTTCAATGAAAATGATATGAAAATAATTCTAGCACAAAAAGCCGGTACCATTTTGGCAATTAGATGTACGAAAAATATTCGAAAAATACTTTTTTTCAAAATTATAAAACGATCATCTTTCTCCGGCCAAGATGGTAACACAAACGGCATTTGACGGGCAGGCACCCCGAATAAGATGTTATTGTCATTGTAATTAGACGAGGAAATTGCTGCTGTTTCTCGTGTGATTCGTGTAATACTTCCGATCATCGTGTGAGCCGAAATAGTTGAGCCTTGGTGAATTGTGCAGTCGTTGCCACAGGTGACACCTTCTCCAAATGTAATTCGATTGACTGTGATATACTGGCCCCGGCAGGATAAATCGAATGGTACTAACACTACTCTGGCATTGGTTGTTAATCCATTTTTAATTGTGAGTAAATTCGATGGATAATGAAGGAAATAATGCAAATAACCAATTTTTATATCATCATGATTATTTAGATCTATTTCCGCGCCTAACGAGCGAAGAATAAGCGGAAACCATGGGTGACTAGTGTCCAAAACAAAAAAGCAATAACGAAAACTCGATACGATCAATTGCCTAAACCATAGTTTATGTACATAGTACCAAGAATTCAGTTTATACGTGCCCGGCTGAACATTACCAATGACAAATTTAAGGAGAAGCAATGTCATAGAAATACCGATCAATGACCATATCATAAAACAGAGAGGCAGATCAATCCACAGGAATGTCCAGCAAAGGAATGTAGCATGTGCTGAATACGCCAGACAAAGTGCAATTGAATGCAAACAGATAATGGCGAATATACACATGAACTGATAAAAATGTTTGGCCAAACGTGCATTTCCACTGTCCTCATTGCATGTCACTAATGAATCCAGTTTGTACTGTTGTTCACCATCAATACGAATGCTAGATGGAATCTGTCCACTAACACGTGACATAGATTCAACATCGACATTATTTCCCATGTTAACGCCGTCGTTGAGAACAGATCTTACGCCAACTGTGCAACAAGATCCGATTTTGATTCTGTTCAATTCAAATGTCGTCTTCAGATACGACAAACTGTTTAACATTGTGTGACTATGAATGAATGTGGAATCGCCTATTTCCAATAGATTCGTACAATCAATTGACTTTGTGTACAGATGCACATTATGGCCGATTTTAGCTCCACATAGCCGCAAATACCAATTATAGAACGGTGTACCGAGTAAATAACGCAGCCACGTCTTGTTTAATATCCACATTTGATTCAACAGCCACCAACGATAATATGTCCATGAATAGAGCTGATAGCTCCCCGGCTGCAGCCCTCGTCCAGGAAACAGCACACGTTTGCACACTATGTACTGAGATAGATGAAGAAAGGGTATTAACACCAGTGCTAATAGAACTGACATGACCATGGGAAAGAAAGAAGATTGTACTAGGAAATTGGCTGTTAACAATATTGGAATCAGATAATGGCAAATCAGAGCGATAATACCAAGTGTTTCGACAAGCACACGTGATTTTGTCGAATAAACAGTAACTTTTTCTTCTTTCTTGGCGAGCAAGCTGCTGCTGTCGCATTTCTGCCCATACGTCATCGTATGGGCAGAAACAATACGAGTAATATCGATCAAAGGCTCTAACTTTTCAGCCAGTTGACGAACAGATGGATATGAGAATAGCAAGCCAACGTCCATTTTAGGATAAATCTGTTGACGAATGAGTGAAATAACCTTCATTGCCCCTAATGATGAGCCACCTAGACGACCGAACGGTGCCGTCAAATCGATGCCGCTGTTTGTTTCTGATGCCGTCAAACTGAACCCGTTTAAAAATATGTCACGAATATTTTCTTCCATTAACGAAGCACATTCAACCAAAGACGAATCATCTGTCTTAAACGTCGTCAGAAGATGACTATTACAGTCAAGCAACTGCTTACGATCAATTTTTCCATTCTGATTTAGTGGAAACTCGTCTAAGAGTATAAACGTCGATGGAACCATGTAATCGGGCAAAAGCGCATTTAAATATTTTTTCACTGGATCAAAATAATCGCATTTACGAGGTTGTGATATGTTTCTTTCTTTCTTTTGTTCAGCACTTATTTTTCCCAAACAGAGTGTATGCAACACCCGGTTTTCCGAACGGTCGCTGCATAGTGCTAAATCGATTTTTCTGTCAATAATTCCGCCAATCGGACACATTCCAATATTGTTTTCAATGCCAACATCTATCAACCATTGGGCCCATCTACCAACGCCAAATGTTTGCCACGTTTCTCCGACAAAATACATGATAACTTGACAATCGTCTACAATAGCTCGCGCTTCAGCGGTACCGCTTCCTAAGGCTACTGGTTCTTCCCAATCTAGATTAGTTACTGGATAGTAAACCACCTCGGTCATTTTATCGCCCTTACCGCCGGAAATGTGCCAAGACGATGATGATTTCAAATAGACATAACAGTCAGGAAGTATCGCACAAGAATCGAATGATATTTGACTATGAGCAGTAGCATTCGGTAAAATTGAAAAACTGTAGTATGTGTCGTTCTCATTTAAACCTACTTGTTCCCAAAGATCTGTTGAAGCATGTGATGTCAGTGTCGACAGTTGCCAGCCGATTTCGCCAGCCATTCTTTCCAATAATCCGTAAATGTAGCCGCTTTCTAACGAACAAAAGTTAGACGCTAGTTTTTGTCCATACACTGGTTCAATTGCCACCTGCTTTCCAACCAAATGCAAATGTATTCTTTCTTGGTAATCGTCGTCCTCCGCGATTTTCACAAGAACATGTTTATCTGGTTGATGGTAATAGAGGCCTGACGGGAGATAAGGAACAGCAGCACCAGACACTTGGAGATACACTTGTACGGGATACAGGCTGCCCGCTGACGGATAGCGATATTTTGGCAAAGGCTGATCGGGCAGAGCGATAGTCGTTAGTACAGATAAAAGCTGACTGATACTATCAAGGTTGATGATCATAGCTGAAGCATTTGTTTGCTTTCTATTGCTTTTTTCGAGTAAATTCACTATATCCGATTTGGTCACTTTGTCTTTTGTGAATCGTCGATAGGACTTTCGTGCACAGTAGGCATCGATCACTGTTTCTGTCAATGTTCGCTTCGCAAGCGGTACAGTAGTCGTACCCCTACTAGTCAGAAAATCATCTCGGAGTAAACCGTGTCTGGCTAGTTTGAAACTTGTTCGTTCTAACGAATTTGTTATGCTAGCAGAATCATTGTCATCGTCGTTTTTGGCTGATGGAGTTACATAAGCAACGAGACGTTTGTTTTCAATAACATCGACCACTGCCTGGCGAATACCCGGATGACGTTGCAAATAATATTCGATTTCCCCGAGTTCAATTCGGTGCCCGTGCAGTTTCACCTGTGAGTCATTCCGACCCCAAAACTCAATATATCCCTCGGGTGAAAAGCGGCCGAGATCACCTGTCGCATAGAGCCGTTCACTAGAACAAGGATGCACAATAAAACTAGCTGCTGTCTTTTTCTCGTCATGCCAGTAGCCCTCGGCGAGCCCTGAACCGCCAATAAACAGCTTTCCGATGACCCATTCGGGACATGAGTTGAATTGATCATCATAAACATAATATCGCTGATTACGTAGCGGCATTCCATAAGGTATGCTTTTCCATGTGGGTGAAATTTCCCGGGGAACGGAATAGGCAATGGACCAAATCGAGGCTTCTGTGGCTCCACCCAGACTAGTCACTTTAACGTATTCACCAAACTTTGCTTGAGTCTGCTTGGGCAACTGCAGTGGTATCCAATCGCCACTCAACAGAACATGTCTCAACGTCACTTTGTCTGAAATATCAGCTTTGGATTCGAGCCATATCTGCATCAACATGGGTACGGAATTCCAAATTGTTACGTGGTGATCGATGATACACTTGTGCCAATGTTCGGGATCTTTGTAGAGCTTGTCGCCGGGCATTACAATAGTTCCACCGACGATCAACATGCCAAAAATGTCATAGACCGACAGGTCGAAATTCAGATGGGACAAGGCAAAAATTTTGTCGCTTGACGTTACATTTAATCGCGAGTTTATGTCAAGAATTGTGTTACACGCAGCCTGGTGACTAATCATCACACCTTTTGGCTTGCCTGTTGAACCCGACGTAAATATGACGTAGGCTAAATCAGACAACTGTGACTGCGCCAATGACTGTAATTGCAACGAAGTATAATTGTTGTTAGGCGACGAGAGATGATTAACAACAAAATCATCAACGGAAATGACGTTCATCTTTGTTGCAAACCGTTTGTGATATTCAGATTGAGTCAGAATGATTTCAGTCTCACCTTCTTCGATCAGTGCATTTAGACGTTCATCTGGGGAGTGAATATCCAGGGGCAGATAGGCAGCGCCGGCTATGAGAATACTTAAACAGGCAACAATCTGTTCCCAACCCTTTTCCATAATGATTGCCACCAGCCGATTCGACTTGATAAGATATTGTTCTCTTAAGCATTTGGCTAGTGGATAAACACGTTCCATTAATTGCTGATATGTCAGATCACCGCGCGATGATAAAACGGCCAGCGCATCCGGCGTTTTTTCAGCCTGTTCAATAACAAGACTATGAAGCGGTTTAGACTGTATATTCTTCCATTCAGTTTTGTTGTACAGTGAGCGCCTAAGTTGTTGATCTTCGGGCAATGGGAGGACAAGAGGCTGTTTCCAAGTATCTTCTGTCGTCGCCAGACTTTTTAATAGCTCACAGAACTGGTTATGCATAGCTTCAATCATTCCAGTGGGAAATAAATCAGTGACGTGATCCCATACAATCGCCAGCTGCCCGTTGTGTTCACCAATTTGATTGTCAAGCCAGACTTGGGGTGTCATAGCAACGCCGTATACTTCTTCACCCAGAATTCGTTCCAGAGCAGCTTCGGCTTTAGAATCTTCATCTATGCCAACGGCGCAGGTGAATACCCCTGGTAGAATGAGCTGACGTGTACCAAGACCATGATGTTGCATTAAATCACGGACAAACGTTACCCCACTGTAGACTGAATGTTCTAAATCGTGCCATAGCTGTGTCTGTATCAAACGAACACGCTTGTCAAAAGTCATAGTTTTACGTAAATCGACTTCCAGTGGAACTGTCGATGTGAAATCACCCGCAATGTCATTTATTTGCGGATGTATCGGCATTCGACTGAATGTGGTCAAATTTATTGCAAAGTGTTTGCGCCCACCGATCCCGATCCACTTGGCCAACACCTCGGCATAAACTGTTGAGAGGAACCCCGCAGGTGACAAATGCTGACTGAGAATGCGGCGCTTTAATTGTTGCCAGGTTAGTTTATCAATCATCTGGTAATATCGAGAGAATCGTTGCTGTTTGAGCTCATTCGGCAAACATTGTAACGGCAATGCAGGTCCCAACGGAAAATGGGACAGACGAGTCGTCCAGTACTCTTTCGCTTCTTTGTAAAGCGGTGCTTCGCGCATGAGTCTCTCGGTAATAATGTAATCTCGAAAGGAAATACTTAGATGTGGCAGAATTCCATCGGGCTTGTCGTAGAGTATAGTTAGTTCAAGCCACAGAATGTTAAAGCTCCACATATCCATAATGAGAACGTCAACGCCAATGTGTAATCTCATTTTCCTATTATCGTTCGCCCATCGAGTGATCTGAATATCGAATAGAGGCCATCTGTCTGCTGGAAGAACTTGACAACGATGCTCGTCGAATTGAAAACTCCTGTTCATCCCTAACTTCCCAAAGTTTGATTTTGTAATAGGGCACATATTCGAGAATTTGTTGTTGGGTCTCTGTTGGAAAAATTGTGCGCAATGTATCATGGCGTTGAATCAAATGATTGAATGTTTTCTCAAACCGTTGTAAGTCGAAGGAAGCCGGACAATTGTATTCCATGTATCCGTAGCAGGAAACTTGACCTAGTTCAATGAAGCCACCACGTCCAAGAAGATAAGCTTGCTGAATTTCTGTTAACGGAAACGGCTCGTACCTTGCTGTTTGATCTTGAATAAGAGACGGCAGTGGCTTGTCTGCAGTTTTGTCGATGCTTGTCTGCTGCTCCATCTTCTTTGTCTGTATTAGTTGTTCACAATATTTAACCACCCGGGATAGTGTGCGATGTTTGTATAAGGCACTAATAGGCACATCAAGTCCCATCGTGGTTTTTATTTTGAATTTCAGTTGATTGACCAATATCGAATGTCCACCGATTTCGAAAAAGTCTGAATTCATTGAAATTTTCTCCAATCGCAATACAGTTCGCCAGTGTTGATGAAGCTGTTTTTCCAGATCGGTTTTGGGCTCTATGTATGATGAGTCATTTGTTGTTTTGAAATCACAAATGGGTAGTTCTTTCCGATTTACTTTCCCATTGGAATTGATTGGAAACTTATTCAAGATAACGACTTGCGATGGAATCATATAACGAGGAAGATGTGCAGTACAATATTGTTTTACATTGTCTTCATCGTCGAAATTAGACGATTGAATGTAAGCCACAAGATATTCGTGATTCTGATTGCACATCATTAGCACGATACAGTTCGATACAGTGGGTGATGAATTAAGAATAGTTTGCTCGAAGGGACCATTAATAAATGACGATGTCAACCGTACAGATACATACACCGTCTTTTTCGACCCTTTCCCTTCTACATAAACTTTTGAAAAAAGAAAGCTAGATTTAGAATACTATAATGGAATTTATTCCGCTTGTATTTTGAAAGAAAAAAGATTATATCAGATATGAACAGAGAAAGAAGAAGCTTTTCCATCTAATAAAGTATCAGTCTTCCGCTAATGAATGTTTGACCTTGATATTTAGGAACAGTCTCTATCTCGCCAATTTCAAGTCGTTGGCCCCTGAGCTTTACCTGAAAATCGATTCGGCCGCAAAAGATTATTTCGCGTCGATCTGCTAAAATCTTGACCAAGTCGCCTGTTTTGTAAAATATTCCGGTTTTCGAAGGAAGCGACACAAGAGTTTTTTCATTCATATCATTCCGATCGTAGTAACCAGCGAATACGCCAAGCCCGCCAATATACAATTCACCAATTTGATTAGTGCTCACCGGCTGCAGATACTCGTCGAGAACAAAGCACTGGTAATTCGGAATCGGCCTACCGAGCGGTACCGTCGATTGTAACTGTTGCAGACTCGCCAAAGTAACAAGATGATAAGTGGATATAACCGTACACTCAGTCGGACCATAAATATTGTATAACTTGCAATATTGACCTATATGGGATAATAATTTTCTGGCAACTGCTGGTTTCAGTTCTTCCGCTTCAATTAGAAAAAGTAATCGTAGGATAAGCATGAGTTATATTTATTAGCAGAGTTTTTTCTCTGTTTTACGATGAGTAGCAGCCTAACGGGAGCCAAACAGGACCCGTTTAAGCTGCATGATCTGGATCCACAGGACCGTCTTCCATATACGCTCACAGAGTGTCACTTCCTTTCACTGCCAGCTTCTTCGCTCTTTTTTCTGTCGAATACCCTCCGCATTACTTTGGAAAACTGATAAGTATCGTCAGATGATCTTGAGGTGTTTAAAAATATATGCTGCTTAACAAGTTTTCTAATATTATAAACATTAAAGGATGATTAACTCTCTCATGTGGCTTGTGTTTTTTATTGGAATTTTTTGTTCTCATTGTCCGACAGCAAAATGTCGACAGATAACATTTGAAGAATTACAACTTTTCGCATCTGCCAACTAATCTGTTGGAAAAAGTCACAAACTTAAGACAATTAAGTAATCTTATTGTTTTCCAGTCCGAGGTTTTTTGACGTATTCTTTTTGACGATGGTACGATGTGGTTAGTATTACTAAACATACTAGTGGTTCTTACATACCTCTATATTAATGAACTCTTAAGTGTCCGTTTTCCCCTGTAATTAGAAATTGTGATGGACGACTTATGCTCTGTTTTAGTAAAATCCAGTAAAACGACAAATCTGATTTGATTAAATCTTCTCCTTCTGTACGAGAAAACATCACGCTCCCTCAATGTATGCTGCTTTTGTGAATGTGCTTTTTAGACAAAAGATAATGGTTAGTCACATAAAATTTCATTTTTTCCTCATTCTTTCGCTCATACCCCATATTTGTTTGTTTCCTCTTTTTTCATTTATAAATAGATGCAACTGTCACAGCGACAATAGTATTATTTCTGTTCGGGAATTTCACTTTCTTCACTCTAAAACATCGATTCAATGGATTCCCCAATCACCAAAGAGACCCGTCATGGCAGCTTATCACCCTGTTTCTTCATAAATCATGCTGCTGGCAGGAAACAACAGCCTTACATTTCCTAAACCTCTTCCTACTTTTGTCGCGCATATCTTCTTTCATATCAAGTGCACGAAGTCATGTATATGTCCATCCTATTTTTCTTTTTTCTACAGACGCACTTCTCTATCGATCTGTCTTGTACCTTATATGTCAAATCTTCCCCTTCAACATGACATTTGGGCAAATTTCTCTTTCCTTTTGTTTGGAAAAATATAAAAAGAGATGATTTCCGCTAAAAGAGACTGTCTTTTTTGTTTTAAAATAAATATTCGACAGATAATTGGCATGTTCCTGTGGAAAGAGTTTGAGTAGCACTTGCAGCAGTGAAGAGATATAAGTACTGCTCTACGTTCCGTCTTTTACTACTACTAATTTTTCTTTTATAAAAATATTTTTAAACTAAAAGAGTTAGTTTCTTACCTCCCGAAAGAACTATTCTTAATGTCTGAAGATATTTGGATGAGTCGTGTACCGACGATTGAAAATAATCGCACAATAATAAGGTGACAGTTGGCACCAGAAGTGCAAACGTAACTTGTTTCTCTCTGATATTATTCGCTATTAAGCTCACATCAAGATTACTATCAAGGGGCAACATAACAATCGTGGCACCGAGTGTTAATGGTGCTAAGAGATCTGCTAAATGAGCATCAGATGAACAAGGTCCAAGTTGAATAACCACATCATCACTATTGTAAAAATCTATTTTGTAGAAAGAGAATACATAGGACATAAAATTTCGGTGACGTATCTGAGCCTGAAAAAAATAAAGATAAAACAAAAAACTTAGATGAGATCGGCAATTCAAGGAGAACAGCATCCACATCAATGGTGAAATTTTTTAAGTTTGAACAACAAAGAGAGAGACAAATGTGGAAACTTATAAGGAGTTCAGCGTAATAGCAGAAATCTGCAACTGCTCCAAGCCACTAATGGACATTCTGGATGCTTTTTGGGTTTATTTCTAGAAACTAAGGAGGGGCATATATCACCTGTGCTGCTGATCAGACGTGCGCGATTACAATTACAACATGTAAAGTTCAAACATTGCTATTATCTGTAGAATTAAGAATTCTAGAACTCTGAACTTTACATGTATGTAAAGTTGAACTTTACTTGTTCATAATTCTAAAATTGTAAATTCTAGGGGTGAATGTGGGGGTGAGGGTGAATGTGCAACATTTCATGTATGTAAAGTTCATAATTCTAGAATTCTACAGATAATAGCAATGTTTGAACTTTACATTTTGTAATTGTAATCGCGGAGCCCTCCTGCTGATGGAGGTTTAGTGAAACGATGATGAGTAGGCATGCACCAGTTTCGGTTTTTAACCGATTAACCGAAACCGAACATAACCGAAACCGATCATAACCGAATTTGTTGCACACAATATGAAGGAAGCATCTCTTGTTCAATCAGCAACTGTTCATCCCGGAAGAAAGATGCTTGGTGTACAAAATCAGAAATACGCCAAATAAGTGGTATTTCTGACTTTTCACCGTGAAAGAAGAGTTTTCCAAAATTGAGTTTAGCAACAAAAGTATGGCAAACTTAATTTCCTAGATTTTATGTGCTTGGTGCACCTTTATACAAATCGATCTTCATGACGAAAAGTAGTAAATATCAGTTTTTATCATGAAGATCGATTTGTATAAAGGTGCACCAAGCACATAAAATCTAGGAAATTAAATTTGCCATACTTTTGTTGCTAAACTCAATTTTGGAAAACTCTTCTTTCACGGTGAAAAGTCAGAAATACCACTTATTTGGCGTATTTCTGATTTTGTACACCATGCATCTTCCTTACGGGATGAACAGTTGCTGATTGAACAACAGATGCTTCCTTCATATTGTGCGTAACGTATTTTCAAGACCTTGCGCAACATTTTCAGTTATGTTAGGTTTTGCTTATGATCGATTTTGGTGGGGGTGTTTCGGTTAACCGAAACCGGTGCATGCCTAATGATGAGGGTGAGGGTGGGACGTGTCATTTCGTAGAGACATCTTTGCCCTTCCAATTTACTATCTGAAGTATTGATGAAAGAACAAAACATTTCGGAAGTAAAAGATAGAGTTTTCCACGTAGAATAACCGCGTTACAAAACTCGCATCTTCACGACGGAAGGTGCGATGGGCGTCATTTTAGCTTTTTGGGCCTCTTCGTCCTTAACTGGCACCTTGACTGGCGTTAGGAAGTACGTCAGAACATACTCTCGGACACTTTTAAAAAATTGTCGTTTTCCAGACTAGTCCAGACGAGGTGCTCGGACATTTCGGATGGGTCCGGACGCTAGTCGGCCACTTTGTTTTCTCCACCTGGGTGCTTTCACAGAAAATAATTCTTTGTCAAACACGTTTGCTATATGGTGAGTCTGTCGAAAACCGACACTTTTTTGCTACAATCAGAGGATATTCCTATGTGAATTAAGGTTATTCGCATTGGGCACCCACTTTTGAAATAAGCAATATGGGCAGTTCTTTTAGACTTTTTACTACCCCAATAATAGAAGGCTATCCTATATTAGAAGGTCAGTCTGGAGTGAAAATTTCTGAAAAAAGCCCTATAGGGGTACGGCAGTTTTTCACAAAAAAAAGTACGATGTGCGAGACCATAATAGAAGGTCATGGCCTTCTATTCTGGGAGGGGGTTTAGGACACTATCCTCTATCTATCGCCAAAAGATCATTGAAATCGGAGGTTATCACCTGTAGATGTTCCCGCGCCAGTGCAAACAGTGTGCATGTGTGTGAAAAACAGCGGGTAAAACTAGCATTTTGTCGCCGGAAGAAAAAAACTTGCCGCTTTTGGTTTCCCAGTCGAACCCGATGTAAAATCAAATAGGCCATATTTTCCATTGCCACTTGTACATCTGACAAGATTTTCAGTCGTCGTTCATGATTTATTTTATCACTTCCATTATTCATGGCTAGCTCCTTAATGCTGAGGAACTGTAAAGGAGACGGCTGCTGATGATCCATAAATATATCTTTCCTCAAATGATGATCAACCACAACATGACGACAGCCGGTTTCGCCTACAAGAGACCGAAGTCGTTCAGGAGGATCATTTGGGTTGAGAGGGCAATAGATAGCCCCCGCTGTCAATATCGATAAAACCCCAATAACCATATCAATGCTTCTTTGCAAACATTGGCAAACGATTTGTTTGGGACGAACATTGTATTCGGTTATGAAACACAGTGCCGTATGTTGAACGGAATGTAGAAGTTCACTGTACGTCAACGACTGTTCATCGAGAATAACGGCGACTTTTTGTGAATTATTATAAGCTTTCTCAACAAATTGTTGATGAATGATGGATTTCATATTTGTGCATTCGACATAAGTTTCATTCATTTCATGAAGCAATCCTATCTCGGAAGATAACAAAAGAGACACTTCATACAGAGGCTGCGGTTTGTGAACGTTGAGCGATTCCTTGAACAAATCTTTTAAGAGAACTTGAAATCGCCCTGACATTACTGCAATCGTCGACGGGTCAAACAGGTCAAGAGAATATTCAAAAAAACAGGATATTGTTTTCTTTTTTATGTCAGAGTCGACCGACAATGTCAGATCGAGTTTTGATACATGTCTGTGATAGCTTAAATCTCTTTCAGTATATTCCACTAAGATCTCATCGTTGGCGAAATGTAGATCTTGTTTAGTCGATGATTTAAACAGAAACATAGTCTGATACAATGAACCCGTATCATGCGAATCGCGATACAGTTTGGTTATTTCCTGATACGGCATATGGGAGAATTCCATTATTTCCAAGCAACGTTCCTTTATTCGCTGGAGTAACTGTGCAAATGTTTCTCGAGGATCGAGTTGACATCGAAATGGTATCGGATTGGCAAATGTGCCCATGATTGTCTGCAGTTCTTGCCGATAGCGGTTTGCATTGCCAAACCCAACACACAAATCTCGTTCGTTCGTCAGTTTGAACAAAAATAAATAATAGAGGGCTAAGCAGAGCTGAAACATTGTTACGTTCGTTTCATGAGCATAGTGAATCATGTGCTGAACGACATCAGTTGAAATAGAAAACGACAAGGCCGCTCCTCGACCAGTGCGCACTTCGGATTCATGATCATATGGCAGCAATAGTCGTCTCATCTCAAAACCTTCCAACAAATTCATCCAATATTTTCTCGCATCATTCATATCCATCTCTTTCTCGTATATTGAATAATCGATGTAATTCAAGTTGTTATCAGCTGTCACCATCAGCTTGTTCTCATAAGCCAGTTGTAGATCCCTCATGAATAATTCATCGATTGAATAACCATCCATGGCACAATGATGAAAATTAAATAGGATAATGTCACCCTGACTCAGACAATCACCGTCATGATTTTTGTTGCTATGGCAAATTAAATGACAACGACACACAATACCTTCAGATAAGCTGAACAATGTTTGATTAGTTTCTTCATTTAATAATATATCGTCAAGTTCTTGTTTCGTTCCCATGAAACTTTGCTCAATTTTAAAGCAACATTCTTCTACTGGTTTGACATATTGTTTCAAACATTCGTCTACCGAATCATATTCGACTTTAGTGCGCAAAACCGAATGTTTTTTAACTAGTAAATCCAGACATGATTGCAATCGTTCGACAGACAACTGTCCTGTTTTGATTTCAAACAAAACGGGCATGTGATAAACGGCCAATGCTCGCTCGTTGCTCGACTGATCAAATCGAATTTGTTCGTCTAACCAATAACGAACCTGTGCGTATGACGCTTGAGCTAAACAATTAAAAAATCATTAAAAAAGATATGCAAACAAGATTGAGAAAATGTATCGCGCGTCCCAAGACATACTTGTGATAGCGATTAAAATTAAGCTCATTCAATACAGTTCCATTAGGACAATGCTTGTTAAGCTTAGAAAAGTCCAACACACACAACGAAAATATTTGCGACGCAAATACTCCGGCCAAACGGCCGAATCGGGTCGTTCAAACATAGCGTCATCGTTTTCCCGATGTTTCTGTTGTTTTTTTCGCTCATTTTTCAAAGGCTTCTTTTCTCCCTTTAAGTTACGCTCAACACTACAGTTTTCTAATCACCTAATATTTGACTGTTTTTCATATTTGAAAAAACAGGACATTGCCAATACCATGTAACACTGTTGTTGAAACTCCCAATAAAAGTAATAGTTTATCCAAAGAACCGGCAAAACGAAACTAAAAGACACAAATTGAAAGAGTCGAGATAGGACCTTTTTGTGTTTTTATATAGTTCTGACATAGTGAGCGTAAACTCATATATCCTGGTGAGCGATCGATGACTTGGTCCTAAAGATCAGGATCCTAGTCATGAAATCAGTCATTAGCCTTATCACAAACCAATACTTGATTTAGGTTTTTTCCCAGTCAGGAATTTTTCAGCAGTTGCTCAACGGCGTGGTCAGCTAACTCTGCTACCGCAAGGGAATTCAGTAACTTTTTTTCTTCATGTTGTTGTGTCGAAGTATACCAAACCAAAGCCCGCAGAGAGTCGCAAGACGTCTTAAACTGAAGAGAAAAGTCTTGTGAACACATTGAGCACTACTTTTTGATTCTGAAAAATTTAAATTTTTGAAAAGTAGTACTCAATGCTTTATTAAGGTCTTTAGAAAGAGACATTTTCTAGCGTGTAAATACGTTTTAAAGTGTTCACAAGACTTTTCTCTTCAGTTTAAGACGTCTTGCGACTCTCTGCGGGCTTTGGTTTGGTATATATCGACACAACAACATGAAGAGAAAAAAGTTACGGAATTCCCCTAAGAGTTAGTTGGCCGCGCCGTCAAACAATCATCTATCTGGTCAGTAAAAAATAAATAAAGCTTCGTACGCCGTCATAATCAGTTAGTTATAGCGACACAGATAAATAATAACTTGATCATTTCAAGGGAAAGGAGCTGATCCATCTTTCAGCTTTCTGCATCTCAAATTTAGAATTTTCTGCTCATACTAAACTGATCCTAGCACTTGAAGTGTGATAACACTCGGCTTTTTATTTCACTTCATAATGATTATTTTTCCAAATTGTGCTGTCCTTGTCTTTTTACTGGAACAACTATGTTGCGATTATTAAATGAAAATCCATCCCAAACAAACAGTTATCAAGTGGTTTAGTTGGAGAAGAGCTATTATTCTTTTCAAATTAAAGTCCCCCACCCGGATCAGAAATGCCGATTTTCGTCAAGAACATCGATTTTGAGAAAAGCATATGGTTGGATAGCCCAAAGTGTCTACTTTTTAACACCATAATTTTTGTGTCGATAGGATGGGTTTTTCATAGTTTTTGAGCGAGTTTTCCAAACCACTACAAAAATAAATGACCTTTCTGCACTTGCATTGCGCGCATGTGCCGCACATGTCCGCGCACATGCTCATTAGATTTGCCATGACCGATAACCTATAGCAAAGTATCAACAAATTATCTAATCCTCAAATAGTTTTTAAGTAAAACGCATTTAACAGAATCAAAACGTATTTTGCGTTTTTCTCAAGACTCTTTTTTAGCTTCTGGGCTTTCGACATGCACAGGAATTCTCGGTGACGATACGTCAGAAAGATTTTTTTGATTTGTAGATAACACCTATAGGTAGGACTTGGCAGAGTCCGATTTTTAAATTATGCTTCCATTTTTTAGAGAAATGAGGATTTCCAAGGGCTTTTCGGACTTTAAAGTTCTATTAAACAACAGAAATCAGTAAATGAGAAAATTCAAAAACCGGGCTCTGTCAAGTCCTAACCATAGGTGTTTACTGCACAACAAAAACAGCCCAAGCTCCCGATCAGTTACCTGGAATGAGAATTCCGGTGCGTGGTAGATGCCTATTTTTAGCCCTTGTTGTGGCGCCCTCCCACGAACAGTTGCAAGTGGCACCAAAAGAAAAATTTCCTTACCACACTCTGACGTAGTCAACATTTCATGAAAGTTTGGCTCAAATCAGACCTACCAGGGGTGAGATAGATTTCTGACCCGGAGGGAGGGGCCCTTAAGAGATCGGTGATCATTTTCTGAATAGCTTAGGATAGAAAGAAACTAGAGAGCTCTGGTTTTTTCAATTCCAAAGAGGAGACTTGGGGACATGTTTCCGTAAAACAGGTTTTCTAGGAGATCTTTGGAAAACTTGGCCGTGTCTCAAAAAATTTCAATAGAATGATATTGAATTGTTAACATGGACCGATAGCCCAGAGTGTGCTCTTCAAAATGCAAATCAAGCGAGACCCTGGTTTTCAGCATTTCGGGGGTGGTATCGGCTTTTCTTTGAGCCCTGAGACTAGTAACCTTAGACGGGTGCATTAGTTTCCCAAAAGGGTTTCTACAAAATCTTTGAACAAAGATGTGATTCTTCAATTTTTTCGATCATATAATCACGTTTAACGGACAAGTTAATCATATTTTGAAGCTTTGAATCGTAATTCGCAAGAAAAAGAAACAGAGAATCTATGTCTGAGAGAATAACGATACTAACCAGGAAATCAGGATCCCCTTCTGGAAATATTAGTGTACAGGTCAGTGACCTGTTCTTATCATATTTCAGTGATCTGATCAGGGTCCTGACCAAGTCATCTGATCTTTTACTAGGGATACACTCATATGTCTGTTTTGTTGGAGACAGTGTCTTTTTTTTGCCTAACTCCGATCGCTGATCCATAGCAAGTCGGTTTGTCCGCAGTTGTCTCACATTTCAGGAAGCGGAATTGTTTCCGTTTAGGTATTAACCGCGTGAAGCGAGTAGAAAGAGAGATCCATCAGAAATCGGCACTTTTAGATCTCCTCCGTAGCTTACGCACACTACGGAACTGTGGAATTGATTTTCTCATGCATTAATCATTGAACTTGCTTTTTATTATTATTTCAAGAAAACCCAAAAAGAAGTACAAAATACTTACCAGACCATGAAAGCTAATTATCTCTTTATCGTCTTCTGTACTCTTTTTGGCGTCTTTGTCATCAAGACGTTCGTATTCATTGAAGTTGATGAGATTTCTGATCCACACACGGATTCTAGAAATAGGCGAATGTATTAATTACTATCCATTTCAAAATAGAAGTCGAGTTAGGGCAACTTGAATAACTCGCGAACGGAAGCAGACTGCGATCTGCGGTTTTCATCAATCGAAAGAAACATCAGGGGACATTTACAACGGATGGAAACATGTTGAACGGATCTCCACGGGATTCCCAGAGAGATCTCTGGAAAATCATCTCTTCGATTGGGGAAGCTTTAGTGGATTTTCGCTCCGGATGAAGTCGTTTGGTAGCCCAGGGCCTGCTCTATATTGCGACGCAAGTCTCAGATTTTTTCGTTCGGGTGCCAGACCACACATGTCGGTCCCCCCGAAAAGTATTTTTTTGTACTTGGCCGAGCTCGGATTTGCATGAAAACATGGGTTTTCGATCATGCTGAACACGATGGCAATGTCTGTTCTCTTCTTTAAAGTCGGGACAACGTCGTCAAGATCAGGAATACAATCAGTTTCTGGTGCCAATTGCCTCTCAATGAGCTCGAATCCGTAGTTCGCGAGTTATTCAAGTTGGCGTAACTCGCCTGCTATTAAGAAATGGATAGTAAGAATGTTTCGATTGTTTAGAAAGAAAAACGAACCTATTTGCTCCCTTTAGTTCTTGTTTCGTCATGGCTCCATTAAAACTCCCGTAATTGTTTAAATTACTATTGTCATCGGACAAATGTTTTGTACCCATATCGGACACTGAATCTGAAAGATTCATGGATCATTATGCATGCGTTTTCAAAGATCACCGATGGTTGGTCAACTCTAAATACTGCTGAACTCATGTTGCATACGACCAGTGCATAATAAAACTGCTGTTCTCTAAATTGGCTTTGTAAAAGCAGAGCATTTTCTTCTTCCAGTTATGACATGAAGCAATTCGAAAACGGTCTTCTGATACGTGTACAGTCGACTTTTCTCTCCACACCGGGAACTGGAAACGTTAGTTTATATAATGAACGGTCTTTTAGTTTCATCTTACATTTTTGTTCTGAAGAGTCAGAACAGTCGTTGAATATTTTTCAGCAGTAATTGCAGCCTCGCCACGACGGTCTGCTTAACAAATTTTCTTTAGAATGGTTAGAATAGTAACTGCTGTTAATATTCAATGCATCCTAAAATCTCTACTCGTGAACAAACATAATGTTTTTAATTTTTCCTTTCAGAAATCTAAAATTCTTCTTCGCTAAGTAGTAATCAAGAATTACAGGTATGTCTTGCGATAAAAATATGAGAGTCACAGAGAAAGGAGTCATTGAGCGGTGTCCGTAGAAATACGACATACTGCATTCGAATGAAAGTTCTAGGTTAATAGTTACCGCTTATAGAGTAGAAGACAGTGACTAAAAGTGGTTTGATAATGAGAGATCAATGCAATGATTTCGACGTAGCTGTTAACAAAAAACTAGGTATCTGTGGGGTGTTTGTGAAAAAGGGTTGATCACACTGAAGTGGAAAATCGAATACTAGATGACGAACAATGTGAAACGTGTTGATAGAGTTCTTCGAAAGTAAAGTCATGCAGAGGGCGACCGAAGGAAGACGTAAGCTGTTTTTCTGCGTTTGTTGCTGAATTCATTTGAATCAAGTTTTTCCAGTCAAGGGTAGAGTGAATCGGAGATAAACGTTACTTGTTGAAGAAAGGAAAATAAGGGTTCTATTTCCAATGGTCTGTCGGGCCTCACTGAGAGCTTTCCTCTTTTATGGAACTCGTCCTAATAGTTTCTGAAGGAAGAAGGAGTGTAAGTCATATACTCAGAATCCTAGCGTTTTTGCTTGTTCTTTTACTGATGCCCACGTCCTAGCTATGACCTTCATATGGCTATATTTTTGATCGTATATAATGAAATGATGGCAATGATTATGATAACTTGCCGAGATGGTTTAATATTTTTGTTCTTTTTCGTTCTGTACAGTATTATTAACCAATATAATAATGAATACTAATTTTGATGGATTTTGTCGTTGTCTGGTGGTACTATCACCACGCGTCACTGCTAGTAGCTTATATGACGTGGACATCCATCTGCATAATGTCCAACCGCACTGCAGTTATAGCAAACAATTTTAGGTGTATCTCTTTGCCATTGACGTGGATAGTCTTCATAGTTTATTCCTTAATATAATGTTGATTGCCTTTGTATCGTTTGTCCGTTCTCTGGAAGTACAGGTCTATTCTGAGGTATTATTTCGATATGGCAATATGGATGCCATAGTGTATATCGTTCCCCCTCTACACTATGCCATCAGAACCACCATTATATCATTTGGCCGTTTGCCTTTGGGAGGAAAGTTCGACTAGCTGTGAATGCTCTTCCTTCATCATAAATTGCCCCATATGCAGTGGTAATTCGATCGGTACCATCGACTACGGTGTTAAGATAGGGGGGTACACTCGGGAACGTCGTCGGGTGGTAACGGACCATTGTTTAGAACATGTAGAATACTTTCGGGAACGTACAGGTCGTCATTAAAGTACTTTGAATACCGCTTTGACGCGATCGCAGGCTTGTTCTTTTTGAACAAATTGATGTGTACTGGTGGAATATACGGATATCTGATTAGCTTGTCGTCCATACTAATCGAGTTAGCAGGTTCGAATCACAGATCTTCCGGATTTTCCCTCACATCTCCATTGCTACGATGTTTTTGCTCGTCCTTGGATTTCTGACACTTATGAGAGGCAAAGTCTCAACCATTGAAAAGGACATGTCGACCTGTTTATCGTTTCGTACTTTTATGATTATATTATCGATTCGAACACATAACTCTTTGATGAAGAATATCTTCTTCCATAAGGTGATATTGAATGTTGTTTATTCTTTTGATCCTTATTTAATAATATAATGTAAAGACCTTTGAGAATGAAACGAGTTTAATCTGCGGACACAACGCTGATGGTTTAGCTACACCTGTTTCTTTAACACTTTTAGCAATAATTTGGTACCAATTTATATAGATCTTTTATCTTAAAGAAAGAAAAGAATGAAAAGAAAAAGCAGCATAAACCGATAAGAAATTATTGCTGAAAACGTTGAAGAAAAACGACATGTAAATATAAGATTCGACGCATGAGTCTTAAGAATTCAGCATGATTTCCGTAAGAATCCTACAAGAGATTAATAGGATAGTTATAAGAACTAGTGTCGGCATTGTACAAACGTCTTACCAGAATCATATTAAAACCTTAATCTTCCAAAGACATTACGTTACATGACTAATATACGTAAAGCTACAGAAAACTTACATCTGAAACACGATAGAGATAAGTGATTACATTGAAAGTAAAGTACACAGATTAAAATAGAAAATAAAACAACTTTCTCTTTCTATTGCGTATAATTTACTCTTTCCTTTTTGCGCAGTCCATATCTACTATTATTATTTGTACGTATAGTCGATATCAAATGATCTTTGTCATTTTTCTTGTGTTTAAATCGATTTTTATCTGTCGTTTTGTTAGATCGTGGGGGTTGGGTGGCGGGATGGGCGGCAAGGGGGGGGGTGGNCTTTTCATTCCAAGAAAGAACGAAAAGTCACGATCTAACAAAACGACAGATAAAAATCGATTTAAACACAAGAAAAATGACAAAGATCATTTGATATCGACTATACGTACAAATAATAGGACTATAGCAAATAAGGAGATATCTCTTCTCGCACGTGCACGATATTCGATCATATATGTGGCAAATGTCTCTTTTCTGTTCTCTTTCTTCCTTTAACGTCACTTGCCGATCGACTTTCTTGTCTTATTCCTTGCAAGATTCAGATTCCCTGTTTCTTTTCTATTTTGTTGTCTTATTAGGCTACATAAAGCTATGACGTGTGTGTCATCCTTTTCTTTTTTTCAGCTCTATATCACATCATTGTTTTAACACGATCGCATTCAAACATCCCTACCGCTACTGCTACGCCAACAACACCTATGTCTCGAAAAAGCACTATTAGTTCATAATCCTACAAATATCCCGTTATTTTGCTTCTTCAGTATTTTTCAAATCAAATTCTTCATAAAATTCTGACTAGAGAAAGATGTGACACAAAAGAAAAGATATGCTTTGATACGACAGACAAATAGGAATGTACTTGGCTACGACTCAGAAATTCGTCTATCGTATCTCTTTTATGTCATGTTTTTCTATTCTGCAACTTAGCGTTGTTTTGGCTGTGATTCTAATATGTAAGAATAAAACGGTGAATGAAAACAATACTGAACTGATCTTTCCACTTTCTTATTTACACAGTGAAACAGAACGAGAAAAAAACTATGTGTCCTGCAAAGATATCACGTCAAATGTGAGGTAATGTCTGTATACGTTCTATCTTGTGCGAGAAGAGATATCTCCTTATTTGCTAGTCCTAATAGACCTGTAGCAACAAATGTAAATGTTAAAACTTGGTCAAAAAAAGATACATTTTACATTAGAGTTTTCTCTTTTAGCGTATCCTGATCTTTTTCTTGATGTCGCATACAGATCACCTTTTCTTTTCTATATGTATCCTCATGTCTGACATACACATATCTACATGCGACATCAAGAAAAAATAAAGATACGCGAAAAGAGAAAACTCTATTTAAAAATGTTTCTTTTATCATCTGCGCCAGAACAGAATTCTGTTCTGGCACAGCTGATAAAAGAAACATTTTAAATGTAAAATGTACCTTTTTTGACCAAAGTTTTAACATTTACATTTGTTGGTACAGGCCTAATAATAGTAGATATGGACTGCGCAAAAAGGAAAGAGTAAATTATACGCAATAGAAAGAGAAAGTTGTTTTATTTTCTATTTTAATCTGTGTACTTTACTTTCAATGTAATCGCTTATCTCTATCGTGTTTCAGATGTAAGTTTTCTGTATAATAAATTTTCAATCTGCTACTGAAGAAGGGGTAGCGCATACTCCGAAACGCTTAACTATTAAACATAAATATACAAAGTGAAAGTAATCCTAATATCTTGCTTTCTAAAATTCATCTGACTTCGTACCAGCGAACAGCATGAGTTCTAATACCTTGTTTTGTTGAATAAGGTACTCTTAGCGAGGTTTTGCACAAAAAATCTATTTTTTGAACGTGCAGTTAAACAATCTGTAGCTTTTCTTGTTAGAGTTACAAATCAAACTGATTTTTCTGATACTACCTGACATAGATGTCAATTAAGAATATTATCATTTCGGTTAGTTACTAACCAACCCAGAATAAGTTGCACTGACGAGGGTTCCAATCGTTCCTTAGTAAAGTCTTGCAATTCGGGCCAGATTACGTGTTCTCTCATAAATTTCTCAGATCGCACTTTACCACTATTTAAAAGTAAAGCTAATATATATCTTAACCATGTCATGCTCGGTTTCGGAAAGGATACAATACATGTATCAGTAGTACTACCGACGAATGTTATCGCTAAATCAAAACGTTCTTGTGTGACCGTTGGTGGTACGCTGAGACCATCATGAAAAAGACAAGCATAATGGCCTATTTCATCGTCGTCTGCTATAACTAAGTAATAGCTTTGGATACTTGTAAAAATACAGTAATAATGTATCGATCTGATTTATGAACACAGACAGTACTATTAAGCTTATTGAAGCGGAACATTTTGTTCTCGTCACAAAGCCCTCTCATCTGAAATTGCGCAGTTCACCCTGATGTTGTATTTGTTAGAAAGATTGTGAAATGTAAAAATATTTCTTTTGGAAAACCTCCCTATGAAAGAACTGTCATTCAATCGTACGAGATAGTTGAAAATAGTCGTCTTTTTTAAAAATCAAATTGTTATCTTTTTTAACAGGCTCTATCATCAATCAAGTTAAACAGTTTTGGTGCAACGCTTTTTCTGCACGTGCATTAAACAAGAAAAGATCAAACAGAACAGGAACGTGTTCGATCGAACGCGAACAAATCAATTTCTCCCAGTAACGCACTCCACCGACGGGATGAGAGGCTGAAATTTACAATAAATAGTAGTATTCGTTATGAGTTTCAACAATAGGGAGAAGATCTCACGTTGATTTTTCCTTGGTCTTTTTCCTTCGATAAAGCGAGATGTAGAATATTTCGACTTCACGTTTTACGCCCGGTTTTACAAAGGTCTCCTGGTGGTTTACAGAAAGGCTTTGAAAATCTTATTAATTTTTGAAATATACCAGTTGTAAGCATCTGCGACACAGTTTCTTCGTTCAGCAGAAATATCTGAAAACCGAAATATTTTTATCAGAAAACCTAAGTCCGTCGTGTACAATAGTATATGATCTTCCCATCGGATTGTGTAAAGAACATGTTCTTGCAGACGCAGAGATGTTTGTGTACATAAAAGATACATAAAAGCAAAATTCCAAATAATTAAAAATAAAGCATCAATATCTTGTGTACAACAAGCACGACTGACCATACGATACATAAAACCATTTTTACTATACCATTTAATATCATCGGATTTCGTATCATTATTTTCAGAATCTGTTCATTGTTTTAAATAATATTCGTTTTCTTTAACATAATATTTTCATAATATATCTGACATATCTGATTTTGAATGATCATATCGGTCATTTGTTAGTGGTAAAGTAGTTGTAGCAAGAAAAAACCAATTAAATGTTGGTGTATCATCTTCAAAATTTAATAATGTATTGTTTTCATTTGATAAAATGTCAACATTGATATTTTGTCAATAATATTTATTAACATAATGGTTCAATTTTTTGTTTAATATTGATTAATTATTAAACATACCACGAAGGTTAGTGTATGAGAGACCCATTGTTGATATTTTTCTATATTATTATCATCAGCATCAATATAAAAATAAATATATTGTATATGTTTTGGAAGTGACGTGATTTTAAATTGTTGTTGTAGATTATATGTGGAGTACTATGTTCATCATACAGAATAAAAAAATATTTATTTTCCAATATTTTTCACTATAAAATCGCGACGTAATTGTATATCGTAAAACAGTTTTATTTCTGTTAAATGTTTCTTTATATTTTCTAATTGTTGAACATAAATTGTTTTTATTATTTTCATTCATAAAACATATATCCATTATGTTTTAAAATAAAGATCATTATTATGTACCATTATAAGTTGACCATGATTTTCTTCATTCACATTCGGATGAATTGAAAAATAAGTCTAACCACCATGTTGTTTATCTCAGAGTTGCAACCGATTGAAAAATCGGATCGACCGTTTATTGGTCGATCAGAAATCAGATCCGTAAAATTTATCGACGTTTCCGCACTTTGTGAAGAGAAAGTTAATTACAATAAACACTTCAACTGAGAAGACTATCTACGATAATTTTAGAAATAAAAAAAGAAGGCATCTACCGCCGCCAAGTCTCGAAGTGTGTTGACTTTAAAATCCGAACCCCTAAAGACTAAGAGAGGGTAATTTACAATTATGTAGATACGGATATGAAATCTCTTCTATGTTTTTCACGTTTTCTAGACGAAAAAACATCCGAAAAACACTTTTTTTCAAAAAAGAAATCGGTGAATATCGGCTGATTGAAAAATTTAATCGGATCGGATTGGTCACCGATCAATCGAGCGATCCGGTTACAGCTCTCGTTTATCTTTTTCCAATACTGTCGAATTTGATACATATTTATCTTCTAATCAACGGAAACCTTTCCTGGGTAATGCTCCATCACCCATTGTAGATCCGTTGGAAATAAGGTTATTAAACTTTTTTATTATTATAGAGTGTCCGTAAAGTCCTTAGAGTTAGAAAACGTTCAATGTTTTCGTCATTCTTTACCCAAATGAGCTGATTTTTTTTCTGAGTATAGTAAGCGGATGGAAGTGTCTATTCATCACAAAACAGACCATTTATGAACATAAAACAAACAATTTTTTTAACGCTATAAGTAAACTTTACAACGAGGTTTTTTCTCATAGTTATATGCTGATGCTATAGTATATTGTTTTATTTATTTAATCAGAAATGTAACTGATATGTAAGCCTAGTTTGAGACAAATTGTCCTCCATTATTCATACAGACGTGAAGGCGCTGTTGAATAGAACGACATAATTTGCGACACATTTCTTCTGGTATCTGTTCACAAGCTTCTTCGATTCTCTGTTTAAGTTCTTG